AATACTAATACAGAGGTTATTTTATTGCCCTAACTTGTTACCTGAATTTACTAATACACTGGATGTTTTTACATTTTTACCCTAGTTCAAATTTCTTGTTTTCCCCTATTGCAATTAATTGAATTTGTTTGTTGAGAATTTCATACTTGTATCTGATGTTTCCTGGCTACTCTACCCTTTACTTTATTTCCTCCTCATCCACCAGTGAGTACACATGGATTTTGTGTCTCTCAATCTAACTGAATTTGTCAGTTGCCAATAGATCAACAATAAGTGGTAGGGCCCCAATAGCCCCTTTCTCCTCCAAATCTGAGTGTTGGGTAGACTTCACTTGTGTGGACCCAGTATCAATCACAGCTGCTGTGAGTTCATGATTGTCGTTCCTGTGTTCACCTTAGAAGATGGCATTTTGTGGTCCTACTCCCTATCTTCCAGATCTAACACCTTTTCCCCACACATTCTTCTGCAATATTCCCTGAGCCTTAAGGGGATACATATACCTTGTTTAGTACTTAGTCCTTAGGCCTCCTGTATTCTTAGCATCTTGTACAGCCATGAGCCTTTGCATTAATATCTGTTTACTACAAGGTGAAGTTTCTCTGTTTAACGTTGTGTCCTAGTTTCGCTTTTATCACTGTGATAAAGGTCATGACCAAGACAAGGTTGAGAAAAAGAGGGTTTATTTAGCTTATACTTCTCCATCAAGATTCATCAATTAGGGAAGTCACGCAGGAACTCAAGGCAGGAGTCTGGAGTCAGAAACCATGGAGAAATATTGCTTAGTGGATTGCTCCCCATGATTTGCTCAGTCTGCTTTTTTATACCATCAAGGACAATCCACCCAGGGATGGCACCACCTTCATGGCGTATGCTTTACCCCAACAATCATTAATCAAGAAAATACCCAACAAAATTGCCTATAGGCCAATCTATTGAGATTCCTTCTTCCCAAATAAGTCTAGGTTTGAGCCTAGTTGGCAGAAACTAACCAGCTCAGGCTGATGGTACCTTTGGTCAGTTGGTATAAAATAGATAATTTAAAGGAATGATGATATGTCAGTTCAGCTTCCTTGTTTCAGAGTGTTTTGTTTTGTTTGTTTTTGTGTCCACCTATGATTTTCTTCCTATTTTATAAACAGATGAACCATTCCTTTGAGGGCCCAATCATACTTATGTGTAGAAATTGAAGAGGCAAACCTTAAAGAATTCAGAACTTTTTAAATTGGCCCTTGAACTATTACGTATGCTATATGATCTTTACAAATCAAACATTTGAAAATGCTGGATCAGTTTCAGGTTTTCTATAGACATTTCAATTCAAATCTGAGATACTATTGTATCTATATTAAGATGACACAGGACTTTTGCTTTTATTTAAAAATTCTTACTTGACCATATGTTTTATTTTAAAACTGAAACATTTTAAAAGGTAACATTTCTAAAGTTAGTTTAGAAAGACTTTCATTTTCTTTGATTTCATTGGTAAGTAATGCTAAAATGAGTTATTGCATTTGCAACTTTAGTTGTTTCAATACCTCTAATGCAATCCTATTTAGCACAATTTACATGGTTGCTCATAATACATATATCCTTATTTAAATCTCATTATGTTTTTAATTGTTTGTATTTGTCATTTCCACAGTTTTTCTGAATAAATTAAAACTGGAAGTATTACCAAGTGAAAGGCAAATTAAGAGAATGAAATATCTTAATTACAAAGAGAGAATTAATATGCATGTCTGTACTGTATATAATTATCTATGGACTATCAACTCTTCATCAAAAATTCTGCTTTACATTTTTAATAGGTGTTTTTCTACCTTTTGAGAAAACTATTTTCTAAAATGAAAATGAATATTCTGAAAGGTGAGAAATGTCTATTCTTAAATAAAAAGATGAAAAAAGTCATAACTAACTTGGTAAACATCAATGAACTTAATAAAGTGTACTGTAGAAAAATGTAGTGGAAGCATATGGGAGACTATGAAATACAGTGACTATATAACAGCCAGAAAATACAGATTCAGAAAAACAAAAATATGTTTCCTTGGTGGGTTGGGCAATCTATATATCTCTAGATAGAGAGATAGATAAATAAACAAAAGGGAAGAATTAAAGAAAGAAAGACGTCAGGGAGGAATGGATGCCAAATGAGAGAAGAAAAGAGCAGTGTGAAAGACTCCTGCTTCTCAGATAGTGGGTAGACAACAGTTCTCACAGTTAGAACAACCCAGAGAGCCAAAGCAATCAAGAACAGTGCTACCAGCACTTGATTTTGGTATTTTAGTCTCCAGACTGTGAAATAAGTGTTTTGTTTGGTTTTTTTTGTGTGTGTGTGTGTGCCACAATATACATTGTTTTTCTACGTATCCCTAAAAAAATACATTAGAGTATTGAATATAAATTTTGGGTCATGACTTAAGGAGAGGAAATTAAATCCTCAGAGAAAAATTAGTAGAATATGTACCTAATAAAACCCTATACACAACACATAACAAAATCCCGCAAGCTAACAATGAAAAAAAACTACCAGTGAAAACAAGAAAACTCTGAAACAGACAGTTTGTGAGTGGATATGTACAGAAAGCATATGAAAAGATGTCCATCACTGCCAGACATAAGGCGGTGCTTATGTAGAATTCCATACATAGGAGAATCAAGAGGGGGGGGGGAAGATGGAAGAGAAAAGATGATAAGAAGAGGATAGAGGAGGGCAAAAGAGTAAGGAGAGTGGAGGCGAAAGGGGAATGATTGTTAAACATCAATGTAAAGGGGGAATAACTAGACAACCAGACTTCTCGATTTTTATTGTGAAGAATGAAAATGATCATCAGCGTTTCCTGAAATTTAATTTTTTTAAAAAGTTAAACAAGTGGTTTCTTTTTATCTCAAAATTTACAATTTTGTCTATAATTCTAATTAAAGCAAAAAAGTGTATCTACAAAGATGTAAAGACTGGTTGTGAAAGCTATATTTATGATATGATATCCCCAAATGGAAAGAGCCCCAAACCCAAGTGTCCATGAAACAGAACCTATATAAAGATCCAAATACCTCATCCACTATAGAATTCAGTAGCCCAAGAAGAAACCACTGGCAGGAAGACAATTTTGGTGAAGCTCAAAAACAATGTCAGTCTGCATGAAGTATTGATGAGGTCAAAAGATAGAAATGGAACAGTCATGTTTAGGGATGGGTACCTTAGTATCCTCTCCATGGCTTGAAAATGCCCTTGGTCTTCTCTTAGCTGGAGGCCAGAAATGTCAGAAGTATTTAAGAGCTCTGACCCCTGGTGGTTCCTAAAATTTAGGGTGAGTTACCTCTCTAGAAAGGGTGTGTTTTGCAGTAGCCTCTGTGGAGCCCCACTGGGGAAAGCTAGGTTCTGATCTGGGTGGAGATGCAACATTCCTGTTGGACAAGCCAATCACTTAGATAAGGGACTATACCTAAGTGCATGGCTATTAAGTAATAGGTCACATTTCAAATCCAGCAAGCAGTGGGATAGAAAGATGAGGGATGGATAAATATCCAGAATCAAACTGTGGCCCTTTCTATTAAAACACATTATTGTTCCTCATAATGAGATCCTTGCTAATGAGTGCGAGTAGGCTGTTTTGTTTTTCCATGTAAAGACTAAAGGAATTGTGAGGAATTAATTTTTAGCCTTGTTTTCTATTGGGTAAGAATCCTGGAGAGTGAACTGGCATATCTATAGATCTTAAAGTAAAAGGGCTTCTATCAATTATTGCTTAATTAATTCCTCCTACAACTAAATGTTAAGGGTCTCTCATATCTGCCAATTTAGACATTTAAGTCAGAATGTACATTTTTATAATTAATAACATGTACAGACATAGTTACCTAATATTTGAATTGATTTATTGACAACTAGATGAATGTATGTAACTAGATATTCATCTCAAACATGCATCTATTCCAGTACAAATGTTCAGTCACTGAATAGCATCAAATGTGTAATTTCATGTGGGATGCAATGACTATATAAGAGATAAGGATTTGGGGCTTCAATTCCTCTTTGCAGTGCTGGTGATGGATACTAGTGCCTCACAAATGCTGGGCAAACAGAGCATTTCAAAGGAAGGGGGAGGAAAGCTGACTCTTTTTATTTCACAAAAGTAGATCAGTTTCTCTCTCTCTCTCTCTCTCTCTCTCTCTCTCTCTCTCTATATATATATATATATATACATATATATATAATCAAATAACTATATATATAATCAAATCTATATATATATAATCAAATAACTAATTATATATTTGTTATTGTTCTTTGAGAATTTAATTCAATTTGATCATATTCACCCCCTCACCACTCCTCCCAGATCCACCCCTTCCGTAACCACCTGACTTTGTGTTCTCTTTTTTAAAATTTTTTTTTAACCATTAAGTCCAATTTGTACTGTCCATATATTCTTGAATGTGTGGCCGTCCCACAAAGTGTGGTCAACTTACCAGAGACACCACTCTTAAAGAAAACTGCCTCCCTGCCTCCCTGCCTCCCTGCCTCCCTGCCTCCCCTCCTCCCCGCCTCCCCGCCTCCCTGCCCCTGTCAAGTACTAAAGGCCAGGGATGGGACTTTATTCCCACCTCCCCTCCCCATTCTGGAATTTTGTTTGGTTTGGGCTTGCAGAGGACTTGTTCATGCTGCTACCACTGCTGTAAATTCAAGTGTATATGTGCCCTGCTGTGTCCAGAGGACACTCTTTCACCCATCACATTCATCCTAAGGCAAAAGTTAAACAGGACCCCTAACCAGACAGGGAAGCCCTGAGGACCAGAATAACCAAAGAGATTGCCCAATGCCCAAGATGATGCTTTGCATAATTGCAGACTAAATGGTCCAATTGTCTACACAGGAAGATGCTGGTGTCTTACTAGTGATGGAGACATGCAAAAGAGTAACACACAGGGTGTGTATCAGGAAGCAAGTCTTACATATCCTAACTTTGTATGACTCAGAGTTCAAGATCAGCAGGGGGCTGGATATATATATTTTAATTTCCAGTTGTTCCAAAGCTCACATTACATGCACATCTGTTCCTATGATTCTTTGTGAAAACTCTCACTGACATGCATGCCAACACACTATTGTATATTCACAGTGGTCCATCTTCTCTGATGATTCTGTTTGCTTCTGCCTCTATCTTCATGATGTCTTGGGACTTGGATCTTCTTGCAGCCCACATTACTCTCCATGGTGGGCATCTGCATGGTTTCAGTCACTATACAGAGATAACTAGATGTTACCCCTTAGCCCAGCATGAGGTACCCCCCCCCACACACACACACAAATGGCCTTTACTCTGAATAACTCTGAATTAAAGACGAATGTTTCCCACTTTGGTGCTCTTCAACCACTCCCTTTTGAACTCTACACTTTGTTCTAAATTATTTTACTTCTATAAGCTGTTTTGTTCACTGCCTTCTCGGCCAATGAGAATGCTTTCCTCATTAATCTGAGATTTTTCACTTCACTCTGTCCTCAAACTCTAATTTATCCCTAGGGACTTAGTTTACATACCAATTCTGTAAAAGAATCTTCTCCTTCCACCCCATATAAGCCAAACAAGTAGACCATCTGCCATTATCCACTGCTTACAGTGTGCTGCTCTTGACTTAAGCAACCTTGCTTTTTCAAAAGCACAGTGAAGCTGTAGGCCCTATCTGAGGTCATTTTATCAGTACTTTGACCATATTGTTATGATGAAGGTGACCAATAAATACTCCTTGAAGGGAAATCTCCCTGGAATTTTCAGTAAAAAATGATCCAAATCCTCTCTGAGGAGGGGATTGGGGATATGGATAGAACAGAAATATGTTTATTAAATAGCTAAGTTCAATGTCCTTTCACATTCTACTTTGGCAGCTTTCTGATTTCTCAAATGCCCTCTGCAGCATAAGGATATCAAGTGAGAATTTCACTTGCATAAATGTGTTCTTGGTATCCAGATTAGAAAGACTCCATTAAACAGTGCCCTTCTTTTGCTGTAAAGGTGTGCTCTCTGTGGTTGGCAAACATTCTGCTTTCTCAAGCATTCTCAAGATTCATGCACTGAAAGAGTTAAAATGACCTTAGAGGTACAAGTTTTCAGTCACTGGGGAAATCATGGTTAGCAATTTAACAACCTCTGAGAACAGAGCTCAAAGCAAACAGTGGATTACGATGTGTGCAATGCTATTATTCAATTGTTTTTCTAGAACCAAAATGTGACAGAGATGGGAAACTGGAGAAACAAGAGTGAAATAAATGTTTAATAATTAATTAAACATTGCATTTAAAGACAGTGAGGAGTAAAAAAAAAACTGATAACCTCTAAAAATGTATTTCTTCTTCTTTCTTCAGAACAGGCCATGTCAGATAAACAAAGGCTCAAATCAATGCCCATCTGATTGACTCACAGAGGACTGAACACACATTACAGTCTCTCATCTCTAGTTCTTACTGACACCTCCATATGGTTTACCCTTCAGTGAGACCATGGAGTTCTGTTAATGAGCTTGAAAGAGTTGGCTTGGTAGTTGGCAAGAGGTACCTGCCATTAGCTATTTAGAATTTTGTAAATGAAATCGCAGTTTCTGAGAGACCCATCCCCCTTTACCCCAAAACGTGAGTCATCCTCTCATTAGAGGCCTGCTTTCAGCAATTCATAATTACAGATTGTGTCCCTGTTAATCGCTTGACAAATGATACTTCTCTGCCAACAGGTTTACTGAACTTTGTTTTGAAATCATGTCAAATGAAATGTGATGTGAAAGTTTGATTTTGGTTGCCTAGTTCAGTCTTCTCTATGTGTAACCTATGTTTTAGCTTTTATTGATTTCTCCAAAAGAACCCAGTGCAACTTGCATTACACAAATACTTTTCTTCTGAGAACACAGTCTTTGAGGCATATATAGGTTCACATTATTACACTATATAGTAGTGTATGCCAGTGTTTTTCTGACCAAGAGGACATTTGACAAGATTTGGTCTATAAATTAATGTGCTTTCTGTCTCATAATTTATATGTTTCTCAAATTTACTCCCCCCCCCTAACTGCAAGAATTGGTGGGGTAGGGGTGGGTGGTGTAGTGGAGTAAAGAATATAATGTGCTAAAAAAAAAAAAAGTCTTTGAGTGAGCCTGGCAGCACACTCAACTTTCCTAGCAGGTCTTTATTTCAAACAAAAGACCGGAAATTATGGTTATCTGGATATCTAAGAACAAGAGCAATAGAACATATGCATCAGCCTTATAAATAAGGGAAACATTGCACAACACATAAGCCCAGCACGCACAAAGCTCCATGGGGTCTGGGGTCTGTATGACATTTATATTACTATATGACTCCGAACTTAATTTGCTGTACTATCCCACCCTCATATGGTAGCCACTTGGATGTTGAGACAGACTCTAAAAGAAGTAGATACTCTAACTTTGCAAAGAAAGTATTGAAGCTTTAGTATGTGTTTTAGGAGAGAAACAGCACACACTTAATCCTTTCGGATCCAGTTCAGGTCACCAGTCTTGAATGTTTTTTCTTCCTCTGCTCTTTATTCCACTTGTACTATTTATCTCAGAACTCTTTAATACTTAATAACTGAACCCTTCTGATGATAAAGACCCCATAGGGCAGAATCACCATGATAAAGAAAATAGATCACTGTACTTTTAGTTCTCTTAGATTACATTCTGCATGCAATTCCCATTGAGGAGGGAAGCTTCTCATTTTCAAAAGGATGCTGGGTTAAGGTTTTAACACCTGAACATGTACAACAGCCTCTGTTCCCACATGAATAATGATATTAAATGCAAGGCTTCCTTCATGCAACGTGGTCTCACATGGAGCACAGCTTAGAAGATATAGGGAAAAAGTTAATAATATGTAAATAAAATTTCAGCCTATTAAATCAATTTGAAAATGACAGTAACAGAATCATAATATTAGAAAGAATTACCTTAGTTTTAATGAAGAATGTTAGAAAGAAGATTGCTAAATGCTCAACAAAGTACAAGGAGTAGGAAATACAGGAGTGACTCCTTGGTACATTAGTAGATTAATGTAGTTTTGTCTTCTTCCATTGGTCAAACCTGGTGTGTATTCTCTGTTGATGAATTGTTGATGACAAATGCAAAGCCTCAGTGCTCTAAAACATTTTGAGAGTTGAATTTAATATCCTGTGATAGGATGGAATCTCACAGTTCCCAAGAAGAGTGGAATTAGCTTACTGCTCACGCAACAGGCTCTAAGAAATCTCTTATTTGAAAACTTGCTGGGTCAATCCCTAAAATTTCTAATTCTTTGTCTAATTGTTTTCATTCCATGGTCCTAGAATAGGCTCTGGGTTTATATTAGACTAAATTAATCACCTGCTCTACAGAACACTGTCAGATTGGTTTGTGAGAAACTTGTCTCATTTCTTTTATTTGCTTACATTCAGACTTCCAAGGGAAATTTGTAGTTAGTTGAAATTAAGGAGCTTCTCGTGGGAAAGAAATAAATCATAAGAAAATATTTCATCTTACTGACCTGATATTATATAAGCAGTGATCACATTTCATCTAGATTTTCAGTTTACAGTAACTAGAGAGAAATAGATAATAATCTCAGATGGATTTCTTTCTCTACAGTTGCCACCTCCTCAGCAAGGTGTTTCCTTACCTTGCTTCCTGCCACAGAGGCTCATGTACCCTGGCTTTGTCTTTACTGTCTTCATCTGCCACAATTATCTTTTACGATCACCTAACATTGTCCATCACTTGCTTCCTAACTGAAAACCAAGGTAAATTTCCTACAGGCTGAATTTCTTCCCTTTTTGCTCATCCTTGAGTCCCTGGTTCCTAGAACCACCCTGAATACACAATGGATGCTCAAGTTCTAGGCTGAATGGATAAATTTCTGCAATCCACTTGCATGCATAGTCAGTGTACACCATTTTGGAGAGTCATGCCCAGTTTTACAAGACTTTTGGCCGGTCTGCTCCTGCTTTCTTGGGTTCTTAGGCCTGCCACTTGGGCAGATATCAACTCAGAGGACTGAAGAGATGGCTTAATACACGTTGTCATCTATGAACTCCATAGGAGAAACTGGTTCTGCTATCTGGCATGTCCATGAGTAATCCATTTGCTTTTATTTAATAATTTAATTAGCTAAGAAATCAAGTTTATCTTTTTTTTATTATATTCCCCCAGAGTAAATTGTGTATGCTTATAGCTTGCATTTTTAATTAGCCCAATAAGTAGCTCCATTTTGTGACCTCCACTGATCTTTTCTCGCTGTGTATGTTTGCTTCCTTGCTGTCTGTGTTAGGCACTGAAGTAGACAGTCAAGACCAGAGTGCTCTCTTTGAAGCCAGCTGCCTGAGGTCAGTCCCAGGTTAGCCAAACCCTTCACAAGCTGGGTAACCTTAGTTAAGCTAGTCAAAAACCTCTCCATATCCATGTCCTCACTTGCAAAATAGAGATAATATTAGTATCTATACTACAAACTTTCTCACCCTAGTACTGTCATAAGAATTAAATGATTTAAAACACACACTACAGTTGGAACAGTGCCTGGCACATGTTAAAGCTCAGTCAAGTTAGCCATTATTTTTACAAGTATTTCAAATCCTTTCTGGAACAAAGTCAGACAAAATAAAGTTTAAAAGCACCAAACATGTCCTAGGAGCTTGGCGCTCTGTGAAGGGCGGAGATGAAGATGAGTAATGTGGGTAGATATGGCGCATGTGCAAAGACCTCTCAGAGGGGGACACAGCAGTTAGCTATTAACTGAGATGCCTCCAAAAATGTAGCCTCTGCTCTAAGCGTACGAAGTAATGGGTGTGGATTACAAGGTTCTAAGACACCTCTGGTGATGACTCAGAATTGTCCATGAGACTAGGGAGTGAGTGCAGGTGGCATCAAGGCCAGAGTTATGGATCAAATGCTAGGTGTGGGCCAGGTCCTATGCCATTGCTAAATGTTTTTTTCTACAAATTCAGATCTACTTTGTTTATATTGAGACCCTTTCTTCATTTGCTTTGTACTGCCAAAGCCAGAGGCCACTCCCCCCGGAACCCTCTCCAGCAAGTCAGCTCCTGTGCCCTAGTCTGCCTCGCCCCCAGCGTGTTTGAGAACCCTTGTCTTAAATAGACTAGTGTCTAGTTGCTGCTCCCCATAAATGCCGGAGGTGCTACTTGGCTGGAGGTCCAAGCTTCCTGCTGTTACCTACACTTTCTCCTTACCCTAAACTTCTCACGCTGCTCACCAACCCACAGCCCCCAGAAACAAATCCAGGTGTTTCTGAAGCTCTTTGGATCCTCTTTAGTAGTAATTTATTCCATATGTTTATTGCTCTGTGTGTGAAATGATTTCAACAAGTTCTCCCTCCCCCCGTTTTGTCACTGCATTCAAATTAGCCCACAGTCGAATCCGATGGAGGAGTAACACTTTCAGAAACACCAAGGCCCTGTGCTTAGGAAAAAGCCAAGGGATACTGCAGCCGGTGAGAGGAGGAGAAAGGAACAAGCAACTCGGACTTGATGCCATTAGTCTATAAGGAAAGGAATACCTCGCAGGGTTTGGGGGAGCAGCTTCACTGGAGTGTTCTGCCTGCAGTTTGCATTTCCCCAGGGTGTCAATTTTATGAAACAAAGTGACGGGATGATTTCTATCACTTGAGAAGCTGTGTTAAAAAAAAATTGATGCACTGGCAACAGCAAAAATTGTTATGGTAGGAATCAAATTGGTGCTTCCTTGCTGGAAATGAACGGAGCACGAGGGCCTGTCAGTTTATTTCTGAGCTCTGCTTTTCAAACTTTAATTTGAGAAAGCAGAGGAAGGTTTAATGGAAATCTGAATCACTGTTAGAAGAGCCCTGTATTTTAAATTTTGATCTCATCGTTGTCTCTACGATCAAAAGGAATCTGTGCTTTATGCTCAGAAGAGAAAGCATTGTCAATTCTAAATCTGTTAATGTGGGAGGGGGAAGAAAGGGATGAAATATTAAATGAATGGATTCTGTAATTAATAAGAAAAAAACTGTTATTTCTAAATCAGGGCATTGGCCTACATTGTGCCAACATGAAGAATCTTCAATAATTTGCATTTTTGAATGATCAAAATGTGTTTTCTTAATCAACTTCTGTTAATAACATCTTCTCACCATGGAACTGGAGTTTAATAACAAATATCTCATTTTTGCCCATTTCTCAGAATATTCTTGCTAAAATACTGTCATTCCCATTTTCACCTGTGGAGGGTGAGGGGAGCAAGATTTGTATACAGCAGAGTCAGTAGTAACCACTGGTTTCATTCTGCTGTTGAAAAACATTGTAAATGCAACTTTATAATTTGAAATTCTACAAAATATACATTCCCAGAATTGACTGAAAACTGCCATCACTATGACAATAATTTTTTACTGATTCACTAGGCATTAGTTAAGACCAAGCCATTACACTCTGAACCATATGTAAATTATCTCATTAGCCTATTTCAGTAGCTCTAAGATGTGTGTTAATTATTTTCTCCATTTTACAGATAGTAAAATTAAGGTGCTGTTAAAATGGGCAAGTGACTAAACTAGCATTCAAACCAAGTCCATTTGCATAGAGAGCTTACTCTCTCATTGTTAAAGTTGTTTGGAAAGTATACTATAATAACATTATTTCACAGATGATTCCTATTTATAATTGAATCTGGCTCATAACTCCCTTAAAATGTTCCTTTTCGGCTGAAATTTTCTATACTTGGTGTCCATCCAACTGAGTGGTGGCAGGAGGCAAAGAAAATACAGCAAGTTCTGGTTGAGGCAGGAACAGATTTTAAGATTCTGTTTAGATTTTGAGACAGTCTGGAGCCTGGACCAGGATCCAAAGCCTGTTGAAAGAGAGTTGCCTTTTCATAACAGCATGGAGTGAGAATTTCCATAGAAACTTAGCTCAAGCACAAAAGTAGACTTGGCTTTAAATAATAAATACGTAAGTACAAACAAGTGTGCGTCCTCTTTGGTCTCTGTTGATATTTGGTTGCGGACTCAGTTGTTTCAGGTTTTAAGGTATGTTCCTTTCCATCCAGGGGCTTAGCTCTGTCTCCCTAATCCTGGCAAGGGTTGGGGGTCACATTCCTGCTTTTGGTTCCTGGATTAGCTTTTGAATTGTACACTATACTCTGGGGTCTTACTATGTATGATGTCTCTAGAAATGGGAGAGCGCTGTGTTCCTATTGTTTACTTCCTCATCTCTTCCTCTTGTGGAACCTTGACCTAAACTTTTGATAGCCTTACTGCTCATGGCCTTTTGCCCATACTTGGGCTATTTGATCTGGATCACTCAGAACAGAATGATGGAGAAGGGTTTCTTTATGAGATGAACTAGAACAAAATCTTAGATTCTTGGACATGTCCTGACTGTATTTTCTCCAAGAAGTCATTGTATTCGTGTGTTAACGTTTAGAGATACTCAAAGAAGTTACTTTGAATGTACTCTGCTGATATTTTAATATTAGTATCCACCATTTTGCTGAGTCACACTCTGACTTCTTACTTTCATGACTACATCATTGCACTTACCAACTCTCAATTTCTCATTGTTTTTGAGACAGATTCATTCATACTTCCCCTTGAGTATTCTGATTAGGTGTACCTCACTGTCCAGGGGGTACAACTAATCAGAATACCATCCTTAAACTTCCTTATATTTCCTTGACCATATCTCTAAATCAATCAATCAATCAATCAATCAATCAATCAATGTCAATCAGAACTATTTTCTCACGCTCTCAAAAATTAATTATATTAGTATTAATACATATGCATACATTCATATCATTTATTAGAACTCAAAATTATAATCGACGATTCTTACTATAATTGAACAGTTCATTCTTCATTAAATATGCATTGATATCTACTAACTACCAGCTTTTATATAAGAACTGCCAAACAGAGGCTTGGAGAGATGACTCAGAACTTAAGAGCACTCACTTTAGTAGAAGATCCCTGGGCTGCTGCAGAAGCAGGAAGGAAGGGCTCCGTGCTGATGTAGCCAGAGGGCCAGAGGGAGAGCATCTGGACGGTAGGACAGAGGAGAAAGGAACACATGATCACTGGGGCTGGTGAATGATACAAAGATTTTGAATTTAGCATGACAGAAGTGAAGGGATATTAGAAAGTTTGAGTGACACATGTGATCTGTTGTTTCTATGTGTTCTGTTGAGAACAGACACATATGGTAAGGACAGAAGCAAGGAGAACTATTAGGGGAAAAAAACAGTGGCTGGGACTGAGGAAGGCACCTTCAGAGATAAAGATAATAATAGGATTTTATACAAAGCTTGGAAACTTCATTCTTAGACTGCAGGACTTTGTATAATATATATATTTATATAAATATTATATAGTCTCAACATATGGTATCACTAAGGATTATGAGCTTTGATCTAAAGCTTGTGATTGAGAACATAATTGACAAGAAAGATGTTTCCTTACTAAATATAATTACTTAAAAATCTTAAATAAATTCCTCAAAGTAGCTTTAGCATTTGGGTAAAAATTATACAAGCTGCATATATACATATCCACCCATATTTACATTTGTGAACTTAAGTACTTATCTCAAGAAGTATAAATAATCTAATAAGCAAAGCATTCCATGCATCAGTGTTACTATTCTTCAAGATTTGAGACTATCCTAATATTACCGAATAATCTATTTTTTAATTGGAGCTGAAAGTAAAGCTCTGAAATCAGAGCTCTGACAGTAGTTTTCTATGGCTATTCGTATTACCTCATCTTGGCAGAAGCTCACAACTCATTTCAGAGGCTATAAGAACAAGGCAGGGTAGTTCTAATGTGAAGTGGGTAAAGGACTTTCAAAGAGAAGCCAGGCAGAACTAAAAAAGCTGAGATCCTCCCAGGCACAGGACTCTATCAAGAAGTGTCTAGGCAAGCTGATGCCTCGGTAGGGTGTGGACCTAAGAAAACCTGCCCTGTGCACCTGCTCACTGTGTGGTGATGTGCAGAGCACATGCAACAGGCTAGGAGACTGAGTATAGTTTACTTCAGAAATTCTTTGGCTAGAGAGGCCTGAAGTAACCAGGCAGAAATTGAGTGTTTGACAAATGTGTGGTAGTTTGACTATTAAAATCTCTGGTCACGGATAATAATGCAATGCTCCTTGGCGGGTAAAATGAAAAGCTATCAGAGTAATATTTGCTTTCATCTGCTTTGATATAATGCCGAGAGTACCCGCTTATTTGTGGTTTCTTCCTGGGGTGCGTTCTGAATCCCATAAATTTCAGTTCCAGGGAAAACAGTGCTGAGGTGCAGGGAAAAAGCCCAAATTTCTCTTCTCTGATTTCAAAACTGTCTCCCACGGTGCGCTTCTCTGTTTGTCAAAAACTCTAATTGGTGTTTTCTCAACTTGCTGCTCGGCTGGTTTCTTTCTATTGATTTCATTTGGGGTTTGTAAAGCTGTATTTGGAGCCCTTTCCAGAGTTTGTTTGGAAGCTCATTTTTAATTTTAATGAAAATGCATTTTTAAAAATGTATATTATACCACCCTGCCGATTTTGCTCAAATAAACCTGCTACTGTTTTCAATGGCTTCCAACCATGTTAGTGCCCTCAGTCTCACTCACTAAAGGGACCCCTGTGCTACTCCTGGCAAAGTAACAAGATTAAGTAGAAAAATGAATGTTCTTCACTGTTTTTCAAGACTCTTAGCCAACAAAGGAAAAAAAGATTCATTCAGGATCCAGAAAACAGGTTTTCCCACCTCAGTTCTGAACAGCTTCCGTTGCCCATTGGAAGTCTCATAATTCTGAAGAATCCAAATTTCTGCCAAGAAATTTAAAAACCAGTAATAAATTTAGGTTTAGAATTAAATACTATATAACCATAAATTTCAATAAATTTGATGATTAAGAAATATTTTTAAAACCTTTCATCTTTATCTGTTGTTAATCCTTAGAGCAAAGTTATAGTGACAGACTCTAATGTCAGTTCTGTATAAACAGTAATGCTAAAGTTCCACTTACAAAATATGATCAAGTATCCTGTGATTTGCCTCAATTCCACCATTTTTTCCTCACCTTCAAGATATACTGTCATAGTCATTTCTATTATCTCAACTTTCATGATGCTCCAAAAAGCCAGTTTTGCATCTTCTAGCTTTTCTGTTTATTAAGTAGCCCCAAGTCCTGGATACTTTATTTGAAGTATCTGAGAAACACAACATTTCTCTCCTGCCCCAAATACCTTCCTTAGATCTGGTCCTGCACAGGTTCTCATGCACTGCCAAGCAGTCTTCTTCTTAGCTAATCTTTCTTTCATGCCACCATTACTGTCCTTTAATAACACATTCTGGCAACACGTGCCTTATCTTTAGAAAAACTTCCAGAAAACAACAGCAAAGAAAATAAATCAAGTTCAAATTCTTCAGCTAGGCACATCCTTTGCTGTTTTCAAGCTACATTTTCCTCTAGATGTTTCTTTTATGAGCTATTTTCCAGCTACAGTGAAAGGGAGGGGCGGGAAGAGCCTTCTACATCTATTGGTTTTTATATATCTGTCAGTTTTATCATGTCTATTTTTATAGTTTGGCAAAGTATGAAGTAAGGGCAATGACCCCAAACAAGGTCTAGGCAGAGTTCTAAATCTGCTGTGTATTGCAGATGTTAAGAGCTCTGTCTTAATTTCCTTATTTCTAAAATGGAGTTCATAAAGCCTACTTGTTTAGAACTTAAAGATTCAATGAAGTGAGTTCACTTAATAGAGTTATATAAATGTAAGCCATTACTAATTATGAAAAGGAAAGGGAAATTAACATAAGCATAAAAGAAAAGACAAGAGTGAGATTTCTACTTGGCAGAACACTGATTTCTCCACATGGAGAATCATTTCTATTTTACCTTATATATGTTCTTCTTTTTAGTGTTTTTTCTCTTGCTTTGTGCTAGATGCCTCTTTGGTGGGTGCAATGGTTGATTTAAAATCAACTTTTTGCAAATTAGAATCACCTAAGTGAGTAGGGAGCAACAGCTGAGGAATTGTCCTGATTGCCTTATTGATGTGGGAAGACCCACTCAGGGAGCTTAGCAGAAGGGAGATCATTGGCCTTCTTGCTTGCACTTCCTTTCCTCTTGCTGCTGACTTGGAGTTGCTACTGGTGATGATTCCTTTACGAGCACTTCCAGGTTTCCATCACTGACTGGGAGCAGTGGCTTTCCAGAACTGCCCCAGCTTTTTGGCACTAGATTGGGAGTGCGGGAACACTCAACCTCAGGGACTGGTCAACTGTCAGTTTCTTGGCCTTTCCAGTTTAACGGAGACATTGAGGGAGTACTTTGACTACTGTGGTTACTAGCTCAACTTAACCTGACTTTAGAAATCTTTCTCTCTGTGTACATAAATATTCTTCCTTTCTATCAGTTCTTTTCCTCTGGAGAAATCTGATTCAGTGTTTTACATGTTTTCTTTCAGACAACTAATGCAGCGTTCTGAGTTCAAATGACTGAAGAGTTCCCTTGTCCATCTTGAATAAGACTATACCAAAAAGAAAGGAGACAAGAACTACTGGGATAAAGAGAGATACAGAACATTGCAAGTCTTGACTGTTTCTAATATTTAGGTATTTTAATGTGATAAACATCATTGCATGAAGATCCCTATATACTGATGAATGGTTTCCCAGGAAGAAAACATTGTTTCCTCTTTCAATTCTAAATAACTACAAGGACTGTTAGATTAATTTAAAATCACAATAGAAAACGGATGTTCTGAAAAACAGAGTTTCTTAATATTCTTTTATCCATAACCATATTTTGAGCTTTAAATATTTTACTAATTAGGTAGATAACTTTATTTGTCAGGCTCATACTATAGTCAAGGCATTGACCTCAGTCTGCATTCCATGTATACATGCTAGCTTCACTAGAAGATTGCTGTTTCTTTCTTATTTTAGGCTCAACTATATTTACTGATTTTGTTTTCTTGAGAATTATATGACTTAAGATTTTCAATCAATAGTACTACATTTGTGCTCTATTAGTGGCTTGTGCTTACAGGTAGAAATCTACAAATGCAGATATGAAGAATTTAAGTGTCTTTTTAATAAGCAATACTGACTTGTGTTTGCACACACACACACGCACACACACACACACACACACACACACACACTTGGGATTCTCAGATCATTATAAGATCTTAACGGTCTTAATGAATCCTGTAACAGTAATAGACATAAGCAAACTGATAATACCATTCAGAAGCAAGAATGTTAGCTCTTTATGAATTTGATACTTGAAAAAAAATTTTTTTACATCTGGTTCCATATGTGAATCTACTCAATGTGTTTTACAGAGTTAAAGCCTAGTCCATCAGGCCTGCTTATCACAGCTATATCCCAACTTCATGGTAGAATGAAAACAAGAGTGGAGAGAGGCATGTGGAATGCCAAACTCAGGACTGTTGAGAATTTTCTAGTAAAAATATATTGTATTTATTTCTTCAAATAAACAAGATGATAATGACTTTATTTATCAACCTAACTGAACTATGTAAGGGTTAATTAGTTGAAATGGTTTTTTCTTGATGATAGTTGGTACATTAATAAAGAACATTATCAAATGCTAAGGAAACTGAAATATTATGTGAAAATCTGCATATATTTTCACTACAAGTCCTCTAAAGTATCTCAGTAAAATAACTGGTAATATTGGAAGCTGTTAAGATAAATAGTTGAGGTCAGTTACTAATATTGGCTCAGTAACTGCTAAGTTGTTATAAAAAGTAACTTATTCTAAAAAATGAATAGTTCAAGAACCAGTCAGATATACTTTCTTGGCTTTAAAAAATAGTTTCTAACAGTAGAAATGTAACAAAAATGATAATATTATGTTTGTATTTTCCCCTTCCATTTATTTATTTAAACAAATGTTATTAAACAACTTATGTTTGTTAGTTCTTAAGGAAATTGCAAAAGGTCTGGTAGTGGAAAGCCAATTCAAATAAATAATACTAATCCAGTTTGTGGAATAAAAGTAGTGTGTAGATGATATTCTGATGGCATAAAAGTGTTCCACAGGCAGGGTAACAGGCAGTCTGGTAACAGGTGACTAAATAGAAGCCTTTGGTGGAAAAATAGGGATCGATCTACTCCAGAGAAGAGCATTAAAAAGCAATATTTTGAAGAAAACACAATGAGCCTTGACAATGATTGAGCCTGGACAAATGTTTCTCAACTGCAGATATTTGATCATATTGAAAGGCATTGGGGGAAGGTGTGTTAGTATGATTTCTGCTGTTAGTAACAGAATGCCACAGGTAAGTTTCAAAGAAAAAAAGATTGTCTAGTATATGGTACTAGTCCAAGGTCAAGGGCTTTGTATCTGGTGAAGGTTTTCTTTCCATCCACATCCTAAGTCAGCACAGGATATTATGTGATGAGTGGGGCCTTCTGGTGAATGTCTTGCTCTTTCTCCCTTTTCTCACAAACAGTATATGTCAATGTGGCAAAATACCTATTAGAAACAGCTGGAAAGAGGAAAGATCTAGTTCGGCTCATGATTTCAAAGGTTCAGTCCATGGTTTCTTGTAGTTTGGAAACTGACATTGGGCAGAAGGTCATGGTGGCAGGAGTACATGGCAGAAGCTGTTGACATCTTGGGTTGAAAATAAGAAACAAGATAGGAAGGGGCTTGGAATAATAGCCAAGGACCTAACCCTACTGACCTAATCCCTCCAGCCATGTCTCACTCCCTAAATGTTTCAAAACTTCCACAAATAGAGCCACTAGCTGGGGACATCTCATAAGACCCAAGGTGTGTGTGTGTGTGTGTGTGTGTGTGTGTGTGTGTGTGTGTGTGTGTGTGTGTGTGTATACAATTCATTAAGTTTCTTACTCCCTTCCCAGCAAATTTTTCTCCTGTATTGAGTCATCAATACAGTTACAATGAAAAGGATGAAGCAGATGAGTCCCCCACACTCAAGTCTTACCACGTCTACTAAGTTATTTTAAGTTTCTCTCACATGCTTTATAAAACTGTCCTGTCTCTTTAACCTGTTACATCTGATCTACTGACTCAGTGTTTACTCCCAGGGTCTTTTAGTTATTTTTAACAAAATAAAATATAATAAGATAAAACAAAAAGCATCACACTGAAGTTGGGCAAAGAAAACCAAAAGATGGGAAGGTGCTCCAAGAAAATGTGATAGACTCAGAGACCCAATCATTCACACACTCAGGAGTCCCATAAAACTGCTAAGCTGAAAGCTATGTTATATGCACAGAGGACCATGCTGGCTCTCTGCTTACTGCTTCAGTCTCTATGAGTTCATATGAGCTTTGCTCAGTTGATTTAGAGGGACCTTTTCTGTAGTCCTCCATCTGCTCTGGCACTTACACGTTTTTTCACCTCCTCTTCCATAGATTTCCCTGAGCTCTGAGGGGAGGGATTTGATGAGACATCCTATTTTGAGCTGTGTGCTTTAAGGTCTTTTTCTTTGAATACTGTCTGACTGTGGGCCTCTGTATTTGTTCCCATTTGCTGCAGAAGGAAGTTTCTCTGATAATGATTGAAAAAAGAACTGATCTATGAGTGCATCATAGATCTACAAGAATACCATTAGGAATCATTTTATTGTTGCTTTTAAAAACAAACAAGCAACAACAAATAAAACAGAACAGTAGTATTTGATTTTTACCCTAGTTTTCTGGGCTTTCTGGTCTCTGGTTCTTGGTCTCTGTTTCAAATAATGTTGCCTGTGGGTCCCATCTCATGGAGTGGGCCTTAAGTCAAAACAGACATTGGTTAGTTATTCTCCAAGGTTTGTGCCACCATTGCATTAGTCTATTTTACAGGCAGGACAGATTGTAGATCAAAGGTTTTGTGGCTGGTTTGGTATTTATGTTTTTATGTTTCTTTCTTTTTTTTCTTTTTTTTTTTTTTGGTAGCCTGCAAAGTACCTTCCTGAACCAAAGACACTAGAAGATAAAGGTGAAGGTTCTATGTAGGTACCAACTCAACAACTCCATGTTCAACGAGTTGTGTAGGTGTTGACCTCAGCAATGGGGCCTTGCTTTCCAAGTGCAAAGAGAAACCTATTATCTTGCCAACCACCTGGGTTGTTTGGGAATTTCCACAGGATACTTTTGCTCCAAAACTAAATTGAATAAAACCCAGTACCAGCATAGGAAGCTTTATTTGGTGACAAAAGATGGCCAATAGGTAGGTGCTCTGTCTCCCTCATTATTTGGAGACATAATTCGAACCCCCTTCACATATTATAGGAAGTTTCTACTATACTAGGTTTTCACATTGCCCCTCCAATGCCCTTCAGTTCTAGCTTTCTCTTCCCACATTCCTGCTTCAATCCCATCTTCCCTCTCCTTTCCCTACATGATTCTCTCATTCCCATCCCCCCACCTAGCTCAAGTCTACCTATAAAATCTATTCTATGCCCCCCCAGGGGGATCCATATGTCACCCCTAGACTCCTCCTCTGTGCCTCCCCTCTCTCAATCCATGAACTGTAACTTGGCTATCATTTATTTAACAGTTAATATACGGACATAAGTGAACTGTACAATATTTCTGTCTGAGTTTGGGTTAACTCACTCTGGGATGCTGGTTTTTTAGTTGCAACCATTTGCCTGAAAATTTCATGGTGTCATGTTTTTAGCAGCTGAGTAATACCCCTAAATGTACCATATTTTCTTTTTCCATTCTTCTGTTGAGGGATATATAGGTAGTTTCCAGTTCCTGATTATTATGAATAGGGTAGCAATGACTATGGTTGAGTGTCATTGACTATGGCAATGACTATGGCAAGTGTCCTTTTGATAGGATAAAACATCCTTTGGATATATGCCCAAGAGTGGTGTAGCTAGGTCTTGATGTAGATGGAGTCTCATCTTTCTGAGGAAGCACCATATTGATTACCATGGTAGCTGTACAAGTTTTCATTCCCACCAGCAATAGAGCAGGGTTCCCCTTGCTCCACATGCTAGCCAAAATGAGCTGCCACTTGTGTAATTGATCTTAACCATCTGACAGATATAAGGTGCAATCATGGTATTTTTTTTTCATTTCCCTGATGGCTAAAGATGTTGAACATTTCTTTAAGTGTTTCTCAACTGCTGTGGGATGTTCTGTATGTGCTGTGGGAGCCCGTTCTTGGGTTCCTCGTGGCTTTACCCAGCAGGTCCGCATAGAGGATGATTAGGACCACGGGCCTGAGTGCAGGTGTCTGAGGTGATCTGCACTTGGCTGTGCTGGGTGATGGTCTGTATGTCAAGTTGCTCTGATTGGTCAATAAATAAAACCTGATTGGCCGTGGCTAGGCAGGAAGTATAGGCAGGGCTAACAGGGAGGAGAAACAAAAGAACAGGAAGGCAGAAGGTGTCACTGCCAGCTGCCCACCAGGACAAGCAGCATGTGAAGATAATGGTAAGCCACGAGCCAAGTGGCAAGGTATAGATTTATGGGAATGGATTAATTTAAGCTTTAAGAACAGTTAGCAAGAAGCCTGCCACAGCCATACAGTTTGTAAGCAATATAAGTCTCTGTGTTTACTTGGTTGGGTCTGAATGGCTGTGGGACTGGTGGGTGACAAAGATTTGTCCAGA